CTTCTTCTATAATATATACTCATATCATCATATACTTATATATATTATCATGACTATATAGTTAAGTATAATATAACTGGATACTATCATATATATATCATATATACATACTCTATATATATATATATATATATATAAGTGTTCACTTGGTATTTTTGTATGTGAGTTAAGATTAGCATGTTACTCTTTTATACTTACCCACATGTTTGCCTTAGCATTCATTGCATATATTCCATAAGGCATTTTGATAGGGAGAGCATTTCCCTATTTTTGTTGTATACTCACTCATGCATATAGGTAGGGGAGCTTTCGCTTTCCCAATTATTTTTGTATCCTTTCCCAATTATTTTTGTATCCCCATTTTTGATGTTGACAAATGGGGGAAAATGTGAGTATTTATGTTTTTATGCTTATGAACTTTTATAGATTTTATATGTATTTTGGTAAATTGTTTATTATCATCAAAAAGGAGAAAATTGTTGGCCTTCTTGTTTTGATGATGATTTTACAAACAATTTACAACTAATATTGGTTTTAGTATTTTGTTTTATATTGTTTAGTATACACAGGAAAAGGAACTACATTGATATTGAAGCCTATGCAAATCAAGTCAACCAATCAAGTTCAAGCTTCATGAGATTCATTCTTAGTATACTTAGTATAGTTTTATATGTAATGTGTGCTAATTCTTCAAGCTCAAATTTACACACACATTCTTTTGTGAAATTTCTCAAATCATAGGTGTTTTTATGCAAAATATATTTTAATATGCTTTGGACCATACAAACATTATAAACATATTTTATTAAGTCCATAAAAACATCATACAAGTTTTTAAAACTTGATTTGAGCAAAATGTCAAAATTAACATGTATTTTAGTGTTTTCAAATAATTCTGAGTTTTCACAAATAGTAAGTGCAAATTGAAAAATTCCTTTTCCAACATGTTCATGTTTATGTTCATAAACTTTTCCAAAAGTTTTATATTTTTTAGAATTTATTTGCTATTTTTAAAATAGGTTTGAAATTCGTTTTCACTATTCATAACAGGCTAAAAACCTGTTATCAGTCGACAGATGGTCTCTATCAGTCGACTAATAAAAACGCCCGGCATTATTAAAACTATCTGTTTTTGTGACTGATAAACTATCAGATGACTGATGATGTCTTCAATCGACCGATGAGCTGTTAGTTGCCTGTAACGGTCAGCTCATCAGTCGACTGATGGTCCAACAACTAGTTTTTTCGAGCCTCCTGTTTTCTTGTCATGTTGTTGGGTTTTCTTGGTTTTTGGGCTTTGGCTATTCATCCTATAAATACCCCTTACTATTTCACTACTAAAAATTATCCAAGTGGGTTTTAACAAGATTTTTAAAGGGTTTAAAAGTTTGTTTTAAGTTTCTTCTCAAGTTTAGTATTTGTTTACAAAGAGGGAGCTTACATTGTCAATTGAGAAATTCATCCTTAATCAATTTCATCGTCTCCTTTGTGTTTATAGAGAAGTTTTTCTAACTCATTTATCTAGCATTTTGTTACTGATTTTCATATTCATATTATTGCTAGTTTATTATTTAAGTTAGATTTTATTGAACTCATTTTATCACACACATCCCTATTTGAGCTTTTAGTATTTCATACATTATATATTAGGTTGTGGGATTGTGATATTATGAGCTTACATTGTGTTCTCATCTATTATAGAGAACAAATCTTGTATTTGAGTCTTATTGTGAGTTACATATTGTATTATACTTGTACACCGAGAGGAGTGTGTGGTGAGAGACGGGGTCGAATCCAAGAGGAGTGGCATCGGTAGTAAAGCCTAGAGAGAGGTCATAATTCCGAGTACTTGAGGAGGAGGACACGGGCTAGGCCAACACTTAGAGGGTGTAGAGTGTGTTTACTTTGTGTGTGTTGTAAACATTTGTCGGTGAACGTTAAAAACCGATTGTGAATGTTTTTGGTGAACGTTGAAAACTCATTTGTGATAGTGGTTTCTCCTCGGGAATGGGGAGCGGAGACGTAGGTCGAGGGGACCGAACTCCTTGATCATTTCCTTGTGTTTGCATTTGTCTTGACGTATTTCTTTTGTGCTTTGTTATATTCTATATCATCATTGTTGCATATTTATTTTACCCTTGTTTATATTACATATTATTGCGTATAACTTGTTAAATATCATACTTGCTAGGATATTTGTTAATTAATTTTAATTGGCATAAAATCGGGATTTGATTAGCATTGACCCTATTCACCCCCCTCCCCTCCCTAGGGTCTAAAAAAATAGGGCTACATATTTGATGTAAATTGGGTACAAAAAACATACCCGATTCAAGGACGAAGGGGAGAAACCGGAAGGAAATCACGATACGGCGGATAGGATATGGAGTACGTACTTCAGCAACAAGCAACAAGATGCTTACAAGAGTGGATGAGATTACCTTAAGGCCTTATTTGATAAACTTGTTGGGTTGAAAAAGAAATCGGATATTTTTGACTTTGTTATGCTTCAAATCCTTTATCAACTCACAATGATATGAACTCCAACTGCTAGAATAAACGCACCACGGCATATATTGAAGTATATGACTCGGATAGAGTAGTTAATTGATCATTTACCATGAGCGACCATCATGTACAATTGTTGATGGTTTAAATCACAAAGTTAAAAGAGGAGGAGGGTAAGGATTGGGTTAATATGGGGGCCGCTCACTTTTTCGAATATCTGATTTGGAGTTGGGTTGTTCGTCCCTGCACGCGTAACAACTCGTAAGAGAACGGAGACTGGTTTCCCCGTTATTCCTCCAACGATCAAGTCAGCTAGGGGCTTGAGTGGGAATATGAGAAAAATGCAGCGAAATAGAAAAAGATGCTGAGAAATTGCTTACAAATTGTATTCAGAATAGTTTTCCTTTTTATAAAGTGGTTTTATTGTTGCCTTTTTTTACTTCAATATCGCGACATTGCGAATTGTAAATGGATTTTTTTAACTATATTATTTGTTATGAGTGGTTAATATAATGCAATTACAAACCAAATTGCTTATTTTTTTTAACATTTCCATACTAAAGTCGCGGCAACCACGGGTCAATTGTGCTTGTTAATTTGCTATAACTATTATGAGTTTTATATCATCTAAGTCTTCTTATATGGTAAGATTATTAATATTAGCTTCCCAATTAAAAGTGAGTTTACTTGCACAATTTAAGTTCCGCTTTCATGTAATAATATGGCTTAAAAATTAAATATTAGAAACAAAAATAGCTTGAGAACAATGACGGGGGCCCTGACTTTTTACTAGTATACCTACATACAATGCAGGTTCTTACCTTTTAATCCCTCAAGTCTTTCATATATGAAAGTAGTCCTCAAATCTTTCATATTTAAAGTCCCCAATCCTTCATATTTTGAATTTGTACCCCAAATATTTAAAGAGTTTTAAAATCCCCTTGTTACATTCAACACCCAAATTGTTAACAATGGGTGAGTGGTTAATGAGGAACATGTAATTACTAATTACCAAATCAACCAAAATCAATATGAAAATTAACCAAAATCAAGTTCAAATTCAGTTGATTTAAGCCTATTATCACATAATCTTCCCCAATTTGTGCTCTAGACTCCGAAGATTCAGTATCTACCAACATCTAATAACTTTAATATTCATCTGACTGTACACTTTTTTTGACTCAAGATCAATATGCAATTTGACTTTTTATTTTTATTTTTATTTTTTTGAGTTCACTAATGAAGATTGCATATGAGTTTTATATATCCCTAATTATCACGAGCTAAGAATGAGTAGTGTGAATGGTGTGATTTCACTCTAACATGAAAGGGTCGTCTATCGAAAATAATAATAGGAAAAACGACAAACTTTGCATGTCTCCAGTTTAAAAGTTGGCAATTATTGATTCAGTATTTTATTTGTACCATTTGAACTTACATGTTTTGTATCGTGTCCTCCCTCCTCCCTATCTGATTTTCTAACAGTGACCTCTATGTGATATACCTTTTCCCCCCAATAATAACCATTTCAAAAAACTTGTAACCGAATAAATGATGTTATCAACAATAACATTAAATTAATTATCACCAAATTCTATGTCCCATTTCTTCTTCTACAATACATTTCCATATAAATCAGTAGGTGACCATCAATACAAAGACTGCAACAATTAATCTTCATCGATAAAGACATCCTCTGTAGGTTGGCATCCAGTAATCAGGTCCCGTGTTATCACGGTAAACTTGTGGAGTGCAAGATACAGGCACAAGACACAACCCTCTACTCCTCAAATCAAGCTTTGGATCTCCCTTCTCCTTCCTCTCTAAGCCTCCCCATGAATTGTGATCTTTGTTTGCGTTAGACTTCATGTATGGATCACTGAGCAACTGCAATTGTATGTAGAGTTTTTTAGTTAACGGAAAATTTAATATTATCATCAATATAGAACTTCTTTTCCGCTACACCATAATTCCAGAGTTATGGTGAGAGTTGAGGCTCATGTTCGTACTTTAACGTACGTTTGTAACATATGTTTGTAGGCTAAACGTACGTGTTCTATTAGAAAGGTTGTAATTACTCTGATATCAATTTAAAGTCTTTTTTATTAATTTTATCGAAACTTCGAAGTTGCAAATGAGGGTTATGATTTTATACTGTTAACTATCAAATTAATGTTGCCAAGATTGATATATAAAAGGTCATATAGTTTACCTGGACTTGCTCTTGTAAGAATCTGATATAGTTGATGGCTTCTAGTAGTACTGATGCGGTGTCAGTCTGATAAAATAAAATAAAAACTTGAGCTAATTAGTAAAAATAAATTATACTAATTTTTTTATAAATACATTCTGTTTTTCAAAATGTTTATTTACCTTTCCAAAAGGCGAAACAATTTGTTGGAGTGCAGTGATTCGATCTCCCAACTTCACTTTTGGTGGCTGCAACTGTTTGAGAAATTAACATTGTTACACAATTTTGCAATAATAGTTTCCCCTGTTTTCTCATATTTATCAAGCATAATTAGTACCTTGACAGAAGAGGCATTTGAGTTCTCATGCTTAGACTTCTTGAATAGTGTTTCCGAACTGTCTTCGGACCTTTTCTTTTTCCCTTCACTTGTTGTTCCACTACTTTTCCCACTTCCCTTTGTCTACGAGTATCAAAATATATCAACTTATTTAGTTCAAATATGCATAAATTTTTAAAAAATTCTCAATAAAAGAAAGATAAATTAAGTTTAATTTTCTTACAGATGATGAAGTTTCGTATCCTTGCTTCTTGCTATCAAACGAAGAAGGTTTAGTCGATGCACGAAACTCCATTGGTGGCTTATTCAAGCTACCAAAAGATATCAAATCTGATAAATTCCTTGCATTTTCCGATGAAATCCCATTGTAGAACTTGTTGTTGATCCCAAGCATAGAGTTGTTTAGCGCAACTTGATACCCCATACCACCATTATTAAATGGAGATCCGATATGGTCTTGATGATATGGAGGCAAATATGATGAAAAATTAGGGTTTTCGTGTTTGATTTGTGAAATATTGGATGGTGAGAACTGAGCCATGGAAGGATTTAGAGGGACATTGCATGTAGAATTGGGTGGTGCAATGGACCAGTTACTGACCAAGTCAGATAAGGTGGTTAATCGCTCTGGCTCGATTAGGGCTCCATTATTGTAGGAATTTAGTTGTCTGTGATCCAAGGGATTGATCTGAGTATGATTTGTAAGCTGATCCCAACTGCTATCTAGTTTCTTCAAGTAATCACATGCAGGGTTGTTAAACATCTCGGTTGTGAGATTTTTGGAGGTTAACACTTTGAGGAAGTTATCGGTGTCGTTGTGGTTGTTGTTCAAGTCTCCTCCTCCATTTTCAGCACCACTGAGGGGGAAAAAAGTTACAGCTTTTATTAAGCATACTTCCGTACGTTTCAATCCAACTAAGTGTTGGTGAGCAATTGTATCACAATTGAAGTACACAGAATTGGTTTTCAAAATAGTAAGCATATAATAACAAAATTGTGAAGCTAGGTTTTGATAATGCATACTGGCTAGTTTATAAACGGAATGCATGATTTCATAAGTTCTTTCAAATTTTTGATGCATAAAGGTGCATATAGGTGTTATATATATTTAATGATCATAATGATAAATACATCAGGAAAAAGAAAGCGATTACTTCTTTTTTATGAAATAAAAAGTAATTAATATGATCACTTCTATTGTCTAAGAAGTAAAAGGATTAAGATCGAATTAGCAAATTAAACAAGCCATTAATTATCACAGGTAGCACTAAAGTATCAACAAAACCTAGTAGTTTCTGCACTAATTACCCTAGAGCAAGAATCTCAATCTTTTTTGACCCTTATATATATATATTATCTTCGAAGAAGTAATAACATGCATCATTTCTATGATTAAGAACTAAAAGGGTAAAGAAGCAATTTAAATTAGTCATCAATTATCGCAAGTGGTGCAAAAGTGCCAACAAAACCTAGTAGATTCTCCACTTATTATCATAAACCTAACTAGAACAAGAATCTCACTCTTTTCGTATGAACCCCTTTTACTCCCCCTCCACTAACACACAACTACTAAGAGCTATCTAATGATGCACATATAGTATACTTACAAAAGAACTTGGCTCCACAAGTGATTCTCCCCTGGCTCTGTCGACAACTCTGCGGACGACGAGTCCATACTGAGCCCCGAATGGTTGGATGCATTGGTGAACGAAGTGGTAGAGATATTCGACATATCTTGATCCTCACAAGAAGAGCTCGGGTGAGGCTGCCATCGATGATTCATCGCGTTCCAAGACGATATAGGGTTTGTATGAATCTCCCACCAATTCGGCGTAGGTGAAGAGCTTGCAACTGAGGCTTCTGATCCTTCCTGAGCCATAAAATGAAATGAACTAAGAATGATTGAACTTTGGATTATGTTAGGGGTGGCTAGGGTTTTAAAAGAAGAGGGCACGGTACATAATAGAACATGTTTGCATGACGTAATTAGGAGTGTGTATGTGTGTGCATATGGACGAGCATTTTTGCAATTTTTTAAATTGTGCGGAAGGGGACAGCGAAGCATGCAGAGAGCTAGCTAGCCCTCGTGTTGTTTCCACTGAGGTTGTGGGCAATTATTTTAAGGTGGTGGGTCTCTCTCCTTCTCATTCTTCTCTTTTTAATCCAACGTAATTGCTATTTTATAGCCATTGCTATAGTTATTGGATAGAATCAATTGATTAATTAAAATATTTGATTAGTAAAGGCTCATGCTTTGTTAGATGCTTTATAATACCATTATTTTATGTAACCAATTATCTTTCTTTCTATCCATCTCAGTCTCCTTTCTTGTTAGCACTAACCAAAAGAAAGCTCTTTTTCTTTGTTAAAGCCCTTATAATTGCATCTAGTTTTGTTTTGCAAGCATTATTTCCGTTGAGAGAGAGACTATGTAAATGCTCTACGTAACCTTGGCTAAATATTGCACAACAATTGAGACTACTCACTCATTTATATAATATATAATATATAATTTAGTCATTCACTAGTATATGTTGCATGTTGACATGTTCTGACCATAGTTATTTTATATAGGGATGCTATACATTTCAACATTATCATTTATTAGTGCTAGTTTTTATCTTCATAATCCTTTGTACTAGAAGAAGCTACAATACCCAAGTGGGTTAGGTCAATATTGGGCCGGCTGTGGTCCCCTGACCGGCTTTGTCTCAAATACCCCAAGAACGGTGCTTGGTTTTAACTTTTTGACAGTGATATGTATGTCACATTCTTCACTGAAACCAAGGATGATCCTCAAATGCGAGCACGATATTTGTCTTCTTGCTATTTATGGTAAACCCTAACCCTAATTTTTCCTAAATCATTGGCAAAAATCTATTGCTATCTCATGTTTTTCCCCTAAGAAAAGATAGAATATTCCCTAAAAACAAACATATATGAATATTCCATTGTTCAGAAAAAGTCTCAGACTCTTCGGTAGTGGATGGTGGCATCTTTTCAGAGAACACAGGATATATGATCACAGATGGAGCTTTTATGAGAATATAACTATTAGTAATCTAGGGCATTCCCAAAGGAGGGAAAAAGTGAAAGCAAAAACTTAAAAGGTAAAGTTGAGACAAAGCTTATATTGGCGTTGTTGGTGGAGTATAGATTTCAAGGATGCAATTGATGGTCTCTCAAGTTGATTCTAAGACTATAACATGATGATAATGAATCTGGGAATGCAGATATATGTCCCTAATCGTGTACAGAAAAAGACATATCCAATATTTGCAGAAAACTTTTGTTTTATGTAAGTTACTTTGCAAATTGCAATGATCGATGGAGAATTTGTGGTCATATTTGTGTTTAAGGTTTGAAGTTAGTTAGAGATTAAACTTATAATCATATTAGGGTTATGGAAGACTCAATGAAAACAATATGATTCTTCTCATAAATCAACCTAGGAAATGGATTAATCACAAAGCATCCAAAGAAGTAGCTTTCACAAATCGGTAAGCCGTATTCGATTGCGACAAGAAAAAACTATGACGCAGTAGTCAAACTTTAGCTCGAATTGCTGTTACCCACTAAAATTGTCGTCACAATAGAAACTATTTTTGTTATCAAAACTCATGGGAACCCAAGCTCTAGTCTATCCCAATCCTTGCTATTTTCATATAAACACAACCAACACACGTGAGATACATACTCTGATGGGATTTTGCTATCATATGATCTAGTGAAAAACAAAGAAGCATATAGGGAGCAAACCCTAGTGCATGAAAGTGAGCCATCTCCTCTACCTTCGGGTCCATGTTAGCAAACATCGCATAACAAAGATGACACAAGTGTCCCATGAGCTTAATCAATGTCCTTCGCTAAAGGGACACGCGTGCAACTTTATTCCAAATTGATTGCAAACATATTTATCTTTACCAATTGATTGATATTCAGTATGTTCAAGATGTTCTAGGTCTTGTAAGTCAATAAAACTCTAGGCCGTGTCAATGGCCAATGGTACCTTTATTGTACTCAAAGACTTGGATATATACTGAAATTTCTCTATACTTCAATTAATATTTGAGATCTACGCTTATAATATGATCCTATTTCTATATGAAGGCTTCCAAGTACGTGGGGGTGATAAAGTGGCGACTCTCCACCCTCACACTTCAGGTTAAGTGACATCTACTTCCACTAGAAATTCCCTTTTTTTATACAAACAATTGCAAATTAAAGATTGCCTTTGGCCACCGCCACACGTAGGGTTTCCTTTGCAATCTGATCATACATTATTTGTTCTTCTTGCACTTGAGAAAAGAAAAGGCAAACCCTAATGATCACAATAACTTAATATAACCCTAGACGATGAGAATGAGGATGGCTACCTTTAAATAGGTCATAAGAAGCTTTATGCATCATAAACAAAATGAATGTTGTGACATGGACAGCAATCTCCTCTCATTCTTTAATCCACCTCAACAAACTTTAGCTCTTATAATGTTCCTTCTGGCGAAATTTAACACACAAACTCCTCCTTTAAGATAATTCAAATAAACTCTTATATCGCCATGTCACTATAATGCAAATCCTACGTGGCCATAGAAAATGCATTGAGCGTGCATAAACTCTGCATCAAACCGCCCCTTGTTGTCCGAATATAATTTGGTCATACAGCCGTCAGGAGGCAGGATTCAGTTTAAGCCAAGCATACACAAGAAAAGTGGCAATTGAACTCCCTAAACAGTTAAGCTCTAGCCCAAGCTTATAGCTTACATAAGACTGTGAAGAGAAAGAGAGAAAGAAAGACAAGAGAAGACCTCTTACCCCTTCCTTTAAACTCTAAAAAGCATCAAAAGGTAATTAAGCACCAAAAGACTAGTTAAATTAAGGCCATGCATTATCTCAGTTGGTGCCCACCTTTTGTCGTTTAGTTTAGAGGGAAGGCCAACGCAAAGAAGCAAAGGGAGGTGGACTAGCTTGTCAATTGAAAGTTAAGGGAGAGGATGAGACAAAGGAGGATTTGGAGCAATAAGCACGCTGGTACTTTAAAAAAAAAGAAGGGAAAAGCAAAGCACAAGAGGCTTTGTTTACTTAATCACCGGCAACCTTTAAAAAGCTTTGTTTAATCCATGTTGACCCTCGTTTATGTCAATCACTAGAACAGGTTCTATATAGAGTACTATTAGAAAAAGTGTTACAGGTACTTGGAAATGACATCCTATAGGGGGCGACCTATAGAAAATAATTTAGGTAAGCATCCCACTATCAATTCTTAATCAGTGCAATCAAGACAAACAGTGCTATCAATGTAATCAGAATAGTGTGTATCAGTATAATCACTAATATTATACCAATGTAATCAGAATAATCAGTCAGCTAATAATCAACAGTTTTTAAATCTTTAGTCAGGATACGTGCACCGTATGATTTTTTTTATAGAGAGTCCTGTATAGGATTTTCTTCCTACACTCGCACCTCTTTCTTATTCTTCATGAAGGAATGATGGGCTAAGAGTCCGCATCCCACTTACGTTTGTGGGCGTGGACCATAGGTTGATGGATGACAAGAATAATTTTCAAATGAGGGCACGTCTCCAACAGCGAGTGGATGAAGGGAAGAAATTGGTCATCATGTGGGCTGACGAGGGGGGGTTAGATTTTGAGTAATATTTAGCTAGAGCCAAGGTCAACGAGGTAATGCTTTTAGAGCATGGGTAGAGATTGAAGAACGAAGAGTCAAAATGGTTAGTACAAGTCATAATTTAGCGAAGTTCGATGGGGGTTGGTGTTTGCACATGGAGTGGGACACTAAAAACTCTTTCCTTTTTGAGTTGGATGTTGAAGAAATACGACTAGCTGATTGATTCCATGTGAATTAAAGGAGAAAGTGATATTGAATTAGTTTAGTACGATTATGTAAAGTATTGTTGTTTGCTCTGGCATCACGTTTCGAAGAATTTGGTTCTTAGGTATTGTCAGCGTTTGGTATTCTCATTTGGAGGCGGCTGGGATGAAGAAAAACAAATATAGATTCCCGCTTGTAACACACAGAAATTGACCGTTATTTCCATTTAGTAAAGATCCTAGAAACACTCACTCTTTAGATAGGTAACCCTCAAATTTTAGATATTTTAATTTGCCCCAAAATCATTATAATAGTTGTTGAAATCCAAAAGTCATTTTGTGGAAACCTAAAAGACAAAATGAATGTGGACATTACTTTATTAATGTGGAATATTTATTGGTGACTTTTCATTAGTCCAATGTCTTTTTATTTTCCACAATGTATCTATAAATTGGTGGATGTATGGAAAAAAGTATATTGACTATGTTTATTTGATGTTGAAATCTGTAGTATGATGTATTTTGAAAACTTTAGTATCTTTAATCAATATGATAGTATACCAAATTCACTTAAATTTCATATTACAACAAGGTGAAATGGAAGACTGTTATATGGATAATATACTACAATGATTGTAAAAATGTATGGAACAGAGATACACAATATTAATTTTTTGGTAATTCAGTTATTTAATTGTTTACAAATATAGTATAACTTGAGAGACATAATGTCTAAACCTTCAAGAGTGGAGCAATGATTTCCATTGCTATAAAAGCTCCCAGTGTCATGATCTCCATTTTTTTAAATTATGCTTTTATGAAATTAATTCATTTTGGCCTTTTATCCTTGTTTTCCTGGACAGTGCAGTACATGATACTTATATTCTGAATCACATTCCACACTTGGTGGTCATGATATTGCATGTTAATCACTGGAGATTGGTTGTTGTTTATTGGTTTACTTGATGTACATTCTTAAATTAATTTTTTCTTTTCACTTCAACAAAGTCGTTTGCTTCATAACTAAATCTGCCATTAAGCCTCCTATCTCCACAAGGAGGATACCATGTAATATATCCAGTCACTGGGGACTATTCACTCCATGTAGAAAGGTAGAACCACATTCACGCACATATGTAACACATTAATTTTCTTAACAAACAAAACTATGATATGAGTAATGCGCAGTCAAGTAATTGAAATAAACTACTATACATAGTACATTAATGTTGAG